TGAAATGTGATCATGAGCTTAATGTTTTAAAGTCATCTGATATATATACAATGCAGTTACGATGATGCAGCTGTGACATCAGTGGAATTTGAAATTTGATATTTCAGTACTTTAATTGACTGATACAAGTGGTTAATTGCAATAGTGTTTCAAAGGAATATATTGAGAAATTACTTGAGGTGTACCTGAAGTCTGCTGGGACATGATGCCGCAAGTGACGAACCTACCTGTAATGGGGGACATGTGTCATGCTATTATTTATATTCCTCTCAGGCGAGTGACTCTGTACCTTTTGGCTGTGATCTTATAAATATTTTCATAAGCAGTTCTGTACAGTTTTAGCTTTTTTTTTTGTTTTAATTTCAAATATTAACTTCAATAAATTTTTAACTATTTTGCATATGACGGGATATTTCATTTGTCCAAAGGTAATTCTTTTAGTAAAAAAATTGAAAGGAAAGGAAAATGATATACATCACAAAAAACTGAAAATGAAAAGTCTTTGGAAATAATGGCTCACCAAGGAAGAGATCATTATTTACCCAAAATATAACACCAAGGCAATGTCATTAGGTACATGAGTCATGCTGGATGATACGACTCAGGTAGGTCAGTAACTTCGGCATCTCTGCAGTCAACGACCAGCTCAGCGATGGACCCAGCATGTCCACTCAAATGTAGTGGTTCATGCAAGGTATGGTACCAAGTGGGGATCCTCAAGTGTACAGATGAAAACAAGTGTACAGTGCACATCTGCCAACAAGGATAAGTGCCCAAGTGAAACTGTGTATAAAGAAGTGGGGTGTTTTAGCCCATGATGCAACGAACTAGACAAGCTGCAAGAAAGTGAATGCAATATTGTTCCTCTGAGATGTTGTGCATTCTCGTGTGTTGGTGACCTCAATAACTTCTTCCTCCTGCCAGTTATATGCTGTTACTAAAACTTTGTTAAAAACAAAATAATTTTGTGTATATCTTGAACTTGTTAATTCCTTGTTTTCCTTGATTCTAAATATGCCAGTAATTTTTAGAGGCCTAAAGCTAAATGATAAGTTGAAGTCAACAGCTGTTAAAAGAGAAGAAGGGCCTGAGTGGTGTGCTCTCACACTTGTTTTATTCTGTATTTTATGGTGGGTGGGCGGGAGCTGGATCTTGCCTCCCGCCCAGCCATTACCTCTTCTGCAGTCACAAGTGTTACTCTGATCTAGCCTCCACAAACACAATGACTTGACTCTCCTTGCCTTCCATCTCTCCATCCTCCCTTGGTCATAGTTATCTCAGTCCTCCAAACCTGTTTCTCCTTCAGATCCAGTCCAATCAGAGCCTTTTGTCTCAGCCCTGAAACAGATCACCCCAAATGCATCCTCTTCAACTTGTCCACCTCGCCATTGATTTTTCTGTATCTAGCCACTTGATCCATTAAGACCATGCTTTTCTTGTGTTTTCTTGACACAAGCACGAGTTGGACACATTGCATGTGATATCTACAGATGTAGTTGAGAAAGCATTATGGGAATAGTCAGAAAGTCACTAAGAATGAGCATAATTTGCAACATACAATAATTGTCACTACATCATTCATGATTAGCACTTTACATGGAAAGTTAGTGTGGGGTGGATGGTACCCTCTGTGACTGCAATTTTGGAGAGTCGACCATTATATTGTTAAGAGTGATTTTGACATTTCATATTTAAATGGTGATCGACGGTGTAATCTTAGGATTAAGTTAACTAGAGATAGTGTAGAAGAAGTGACTGCACAGGCCAACACAGAGTGAGCAGGTGATGGCTGTATATTCTTCCTAGCCCTGGTCACCTCCTCCCCCATCACAGTCTCCGCCGCCACCGCCTTTACTGCAGCCTCCAGCCGATCAGCAGGATGATGGCGGTGGACCAGCCTAGGGTGGGATGTATGATTGTATACTGTGCTTAATGTAGTAATAAAGTGTTTGTACTCCTGATAAATTTCACTGAGCCTTAGTTGCCTTTTTTATTTATTTAATAGAACCAGTTACTCATCTAGAATAATATACTTAAATACAGTATGCCAGAATAAAATTTGTTGTCATTAAACCTGATAGGATATACATATATATAACCTAACTTCATTATCAGTTATTTACGATTAAAAAAGTTTAATGATGAGTTGATTCCTTTTTCTTTCTTTTTTTAGTTTATTCATCATGGTACAAACATGGTTAATTTACCATTTATGAAATTGCGAAAAAGGTTCATATACATTTATAGAATGTCTGAGATATTGTATAAGATATTCTTAACCCAACATCAGTCCAAAAGATATATTACAGATTTACCATTTCCATTCATAAAGTAGTATTCATAAAAGATGATTATTAAATACAAAATACTTCACAGTAATATCGAAGAGTTCATAAGTAATAGTTTGCCATGTGATTTTTTTTTTTGTGTGTACATTATTACAATCTGCATTTAGTCTACACATATACATGTTGAAATGCATCCTTATATATATACATATGTACACAGATACATGCATTTATATATATATATATATATATATATATTATATATATATATATATATATATTACACATACATATATACATATACATATATATATTTATATATATATATACATATATATATATATATATATATATAGTATATATATATATATATATATATATATATATATATATATTATACATTTATACATATATACATATATACATGTATTTATATATATATATATATATATATATATATATATATATATATATATAATATATATACATATATATATATATATATATATATATTATATATATATATATATATATATATATATATATACATACATACATATATATACATATATATATACATATATATATACATATATATATATACATATATGTATATATACATATATGTATATACATATATGTATATACATATATATATATATATATATATATATATACATATATGTATATACATATATATATATATATATATATACATATATGTATATACATATATGTATATACATATATGTATATACATATATTACTAATATATATACATATATGTATATACATATATTGTATATACACATATATATATATATATTATATATATATATATATATATATATATATAAATATATACATACATATATATACATATATATATACATATATATATATACATATACATATATATATATTACATATATATATACATATATACATATATATATACATATATATACATACTAATATATACATATATAAATATACATACATTATATACATACATATATATACATACATACA